TAGTAGCTTATCTTTATTTATTTATTTTGTAATCTCAACTGAGTAAACAGAATTCGCTGTTTTATTTTGATCATATTAACCAACAGTTGGCTTCAATGACACTCGAATCTCAAAATTAATATTAAAACCCTGTGCGATTAGTTAATGTTACATATAAATTAAGATAGGCTTCTTAATAATAAAATGTTTACCATTAACTTAAAACTGAATGACGATAATTAATCATTCACACTAATTTATATCTGGCCAGGGGGTAAAATTCCGGGGGGTAAAATTCCGGGGGGTAAAATTCCGGGGGTAAAATTCCGGGGGTAAAATTCCGGGGGGTAAAATTCCGGGGGTAAAATTCCGGGGGGTAAAATTCCGGGCCGTACATTCTAGGTTTTTTAATTTGATGTGTTCTGATTAAACTCACAACCGTGAAAATATATGTTTAATTCCGCGTTTAATCCATCGAGCTGATGTCGCGAAACTCAAATGTTCGCGGCCGGAATTTTACCCCCGGTTTGTGACGTCACGTTTGCCCAGGGGGTAAAATTCCAGGGGGATAAAAATCCGCTACCCCCTTTCGAATGCAAACACGTTGTCCAATACAATATGTTCCTCTAAAATCACATATTATTACGAAACAGTCTACAAAGAGGAAAAAACGTGTTTCACTGATCCCATTTAACAGTACCAATTTAATTCAAGAAAAAACAATATCCCGGAAACTTTTTCAGACAAATGTAGGCGTATCAACCACGTTCTTCGACCAATGTCCAATGTCATCTTTCTCTAGGAATGTCGTAGCGGATGAAAGCAAAACCGGCATTGCGAGGCGAGGTGCAGCGATAACTAGGCTAATAGCTGTGATAACGGACGCCCAGTAGTCGCGGTCGAGGTCTGAATGCAAATCCTCTAACGGGAGGCACGGGCCAGTGTAACACGGACGTGCAACGTGCGGCCCCCAAAGTGGACAAGTCGGCCGTCTGTGAAAGGACAAGCTATAGTATCTGGATCAGCTACTGCTATCAGTCATATTGAATTACAATAATTGAAAAGGTAAATTATGTTGGACACGTTCACTGAAGCACAAATAATGCCCATCCCAACGATTATTGACAGAATAGATTGGTTCAGATGGTAAAATAATACATTGTAACAACCGATGGGTCTGTTAAGTCATGGAAATTGTCTTAATTTAATATGCACTTTGGCTTATAGTGGCTTTCAGGACTGGTAGCCTTAGTCTAAAGTTTACTTGTTTTATTGCTGCTTTCCTCGAACCTGTTTTATGACCTCTGACCAAGGATTCAAAACCATACCAAACTGCTTGGTTGCTGGTCCTAACACAATGGCCTTAAGTACAGTAGGTAACCCGTTTCAGTGTAAAAATGTTGTATGTTTTTATCTAAGCTTGAATGAAATTGAAATTGCTAGGACAACTGATACTCTGATAAGAATAAGGTCACTATGAAAAAATATTCGTATGCATGGAATTGTTTTCGCTCATTCTGACTTGAGCGTTCTCCTACTTTTACTCAGATTCAGGGCCCTGTGGCTTTCCTGAGCTGTATCTCAAAGCCACCCATCACCAGGTCGAGACAGATATACAGAGGAGTGTCACAACTCGTCGCATACAACCTTGACCACGGTCCACGACCCGCCATAGTTCTCGGGTCACCGGTTCACTCTCCCCGCGACTTTCATCTGATCCGCTTTTCAGTTGCAAAAACAAACGAACCTGCCACCGAAAGCATTCCCGGCTAATTAAATTAGCCTATCGTTTTTCCCGGGATGCTCTAGGCCGGGGAATCCATTACGTGGGTAATTGGCTTTGGCTAACGAGAAGAATCCGCGGCCAAGGCGCAACGACCTCCATTGTTTTGCCGAATTGTTCCCACTGATGGTGGATTTATTAACCGGTTAGTGGATGCCGAAGCGCCGGAAGACATAACCTGGGCTGAGTGGAGGTCTCCGTAGATGGAGTGACCGGTGGTGAGTGGTCAACGTGGTCGTCGGTCGCGGCAACGGGACGACCACCGACTATTGTGTACTGTATCGGGAATCGTCTACAACTCAGTAGTTACACTGTGGTTATTCCAGTGAACCTAGAAAATATCGTTAATGTGTATTAAGTATCAACACTCTTTCGCACCTTCTTTCATAATAAATTCAGATCAAGCAGCTCTGAACGAGTTGCGGGGACGAATTACTCGGGACATTATTGGCGATTCTTACGTTAATTTAATTTTGACGAGTCTGATCACGAGCCTCCATGAATCGCATTAGGCACACGTAACATGGTCTATATTTCCAAAGTATGTACAAGCTTATTCTAAATGAAACAAGCAAACGTCAATAAGGCTCCAAAATATCTCATGCTGGCCTGAATTTAATATACGGTTCGGTTAAAGAATCGTATTCTTGTTCGGAAGACCAGGAGGGATTCATTCAGCTATTTCCACCGTCATACTCGTATAACATTTGGAAGTAGGATTTCCTATTTCCAGGGAAAGACGGTGGTATAGTGGGAAACTGTGGCGACCGCGGCAGTGAGTGACCGCACTACGGTTGGCTAACCATCGCACTTGGCTGACCATACCTGACTCATTACTGTACAGACTTCCCAGGCACGACGCCTGTGCACAGCCTAGACAAGATATGCCACAGTTTTGTGCAAATATCCCACGTTAAACTTCCGCACACACTTAAGTTCGATAAAATGTGTCTCAAAAAGACACCTCAAATGATTTGATTGGAGATCAGAAACTCTAAGATAACGATCAGGGGACTTTGAAAATACAGTATTATTCATCCAAATCCCAACGGTCAAGGAAGTCTTGAGAAATTAGGTCAGAAAGCTTAGAGAGCTTGAGATTAAGAGAAGTAAATAACGTAGAGAAAGAACCTAGAACCTTGTTAAAAACCTTTAAAGACGACAGATATGAATTTGGGGAGATCAGAAAAAACAAGAGGATCACGAATAAGAAAACTTGGAGAATTTGAGATAAAGAAATAGCCAAATACAGAAAAAGAACCATAATTCTAGTGAGTACCTTGGAAAACGCCAGAGAAGCCTTGTAAGATCAGAAAAAGAATAACTTGAACACTGAAACACAGAGACAATTGGACTTGAATTGCATAAAAATACCTAATTCCTAAGATTTTCACCAAATTGCCTTACTAAGCTGTGATTTGTACGTAACTAACTAAGCTGAGTAGTTGTTAGTTAAAAAACATTATTATTTTGGTTCCACTTGATCTAACATGCTGCCAGAACATTTTACTAGGGATAGTCCTACCTTGAGGACAAACCACATTGCTAATATAGAACTGGCTACAAGAAGAGTTACTGTGTATCACACAGGTGACTACATTTGACAATCCTTCTTTTGACTCGGCGCGGAATACCTGCCTGCTATGGATGGAAACAACACGATTTGATCTCGTGAGAGAATGTTTAGTTTCTGCTTTCAACTGAGAAGTGTTTCAATACTAAATCTAATTGAATTGACATCTTTCAGAGCCAAATGACAGTCAACAATTAATTGCCTGGGTAGCAATGTAGTTACAGTATAGTGCTTGCCTTAAAGCCTGAATATCTCTGGTTCGATTCCAAGTGGGGTCATTGCTGGATCAAAATTTCATTTGTGATTTGGTTATCATTTTACTTCATTATATTGAATTTTACTCTCCTGGTCGCATTCAAATACTAAAGAATTGGTGTAAATGCCTGCGTTCCAATGCAGGTATTTACACCAGTTCATTATCATTTAATGATGCTATCTAATAAAAGGTCGACTTTAAATGGTAACAATATCAAGGTCTAGGAACTATATGTTGCAAAACCTGTAAAAAAGTTGTCAAAATGCGTAGATAAAATAAAATATTCCAGTAAAAAATATTTCAAAATGTTTTTACAATTTTAAGATGGTTCAAAATCAAATATACTTGTGTGCAATGAGTATGGTCTACAAAACGTAATACTACAACTTAAAAGGGAATCTCACAGCTATCATTAATAATTAAAAACGTAAACGCGATTCCTAAGTCGTCACATCGTGGCACTAAAAAAAGATTTTATCACAAAAACCTCATTCTTGATAAAACAAATTCCAAACAAAATTTCAACTAGGCCTAGTCAAAAATCAACTTGAATTTGTTTTGGGTCGCACCCGAAAACTTGTTAAGTTGAAGGTTTTCCGCGTTCCATTCCTACTGTTCCCCCGGTCTACGTAGGAAGATCGGAATTCAGAGGTGCAAATGGAAGCGTTGTTCCACTTCTCTGTCTCACACACACGAAATTAGGAGAGTCGGACAAGAATGACGTCACAGTGTCACAGTCGGATAACGGCGTGTTGCACGTGACAACCGCGACACCGCGACATAGCAACCAGCGCACTCTGCACTCATTTGTCATAACAAATATAATATAAATAAACAACACTACAAATTAATAATATCTCATCATTAGGTAAAGGAAAAGGCGAAAAGAAACTTTGGGCAGTGCTAGGAACTATATGTTTCGTCATAATCCGCCATTCTTTAAGCCAATCAACTCACAAAACCTACATTTCCTATAAGTCTTAATAAATTAGGTTTCAAAACATCAATTATTGTTACTATTAAACACTAACAGCTGTTACAGTTTATTAGAAGAAGTAAGTATTACCATAGACGGAGTATGTTTTATCTATGGTATTACTCCACCGACACAATAATACCATAGACAAGTTTTTGTCTATGATAATACATTCCAATTTCAATTATTGAAAATTTTATCTGTCTTAATTATTCAAGTTGGGCATTTGTTGTAATGAAATATACAACGTGACAAGATGGTAAATAAAAGGACGTAATAACGATACGATAGTATTTTTACTAATCGGGACTATTTTGTAAAGACATATCAGCGAAGGAATTTAAAATTCATGTTACGATGCTCAAGTTTAAATTAGTATAATGAGTGATAAACTTGCTAATGCAGAGTTTTAAGAGGTGTTTTTCTGTTTCAGAGTACATGACGTGCTGATATAGTTTTCAGCACCTCCAAGACTTCCTGGCGGTGCTTCTTCCACCTTACAACATAGTTATTAGTGTGAGTAGTTATTATTATTTTTCAAAAGAAATCTGTACTAAAAGAAGAATTTCTAGAATTTCTGTTGAACGTTCTGGGCAATAGTGGAAAAGTTGTTTTGGTCAAGTTTACCAATAGCATATTTATACCCAACTGTTCTTTTTATTTATTGAAGCCATCCCGTTTTGTTACTTATTGATTTGGTAGCATGTACAAATTGAGATGTTCGTTGGAATGAATAAATACCAATTATTAAAGAATAAAACTAACAAATAAAAAGGCCAAGTGGTCTAAAATAATATATTTTATTGAGATTTACATGTCCTAAAAACATCATTAGAAATAAACAGAAAGCATTTGCATATTAATATTGTTCAGCTAAAAACTCCTTTAGTGTGAGAAAAATCGATCTTCCACAAAAATTATATAAAAATGACTAAAGCTTGGTTATTTTTGCAATACCAAACACAAATTGCCAAGACCACCAACTCTTCTCCTAACGGTGCATTTCAACGCATTCCTCTATCTGGCCATTCATAAACGTAATCTACATAATCATATAAACCAAACAAAAACCTTCTGATTAAACCAACTTGGAGCGAACAATACAGGTTCGTTAATTCGACGGCGATAAATAGCAAAGAGTACACCATCAACCGACTGTGTTTACAGTGCATTGTTCTCTACAGCCGTAACAGTGTGTTAATGATTACGTCCACGCGATGACCGCGCATGTCATATACACCGCGCATGCGCAGTGACGCAACCTTGTACTGCGCCGACTCACTCATTAGTGGATCAACCTGGGTTATTAGCGGGGAAAACTACGGAACTAGTGTTATTGTGGGAAACTTGTAATGAGGGGGTATAAATTGAATTATAGTCTAGGTGTAAAAATATTTAGTTGCGATTCCAATTAGACATTTGTTGTAATCGCGTCGTAAAAGGCAAGCCTTGTTTATTGCAACGAGTCTGAAAATGTTTATACTATAATACTATAAGCCTATGGGTCCATTGCCAGTTAGTTTGAATTGCTTCGGTGTGTATTTGCATTGAATACTGTTGAAATAGTTTCTTTAATTCATTCATCCATTCCTTAAAATGCTAGCGCATATAAAACTGATTCTATGTGACCTGAGTGGTGGATCAAGTAAAATGCATCGATTAACTTTGTTACTGACTAAAACCCCCATCTGTATGAACCTGTTGTAGTAAATCTTTTTATTAAGTAAGAAGTTAGTTGAGCTACTTAAAGAGTTTGCTGCAGTAATATGTTTGTGATATATAAGTGCTCTTTACTAAGATATTCTGTCAGTTTGGTTTGCTTACGAAATTTCTTTACTCAAAATAATCAATTTATATCAGCACACGGTAACTCATTCAGTCACGATTGTCAGTTCAAAACTGGCAACAACTTTAACACGGCAATGAAATGTCCAATTGCAGCTATAATCAAAGTTATTAATTATCTATGCAGATCCGTGTTACCAACAGTTGGTAGGATTACAGTAGACTAGGATTACTATCGACACAGAATACCAAGGTGAGGTGTGAGGTATGATGATGCTACCGTTACGACGCTTATCACAGCGGGGGTCCACAAACATATTGAATTACCAGCAATATCTGGTGTATACCGGGGACTGGGGACCGCTACCCCGCTAACTGACGGTTCGACAGTGCGGGGTCGTTGTGTTGGAATTTCATTTGCACAACTTGCCATCAACTGCCATGTTTCTCCTTAGTTTCGTTACTAGACATATTAACTTAGTCAAATTAAATAAATTAATTTTGCACACCAGACACTATTCTTAATTAACGTTACACAAGAACGTTGACTATTTGGCTAAAGAAAGACATTGGGTCAGTATTTTGTACCAGTAGTACACAAATTTTAATATTGTAAAAATTGTTGTGGACACATAAGGAAAAATTTTAGAAACTCTATCTCAAAGGAACTCAAAGTTTCGCACACAACTGACAAAGAAACGGTATTGTTTTATATCAGGTATAAAACAAAACAAAAAACAGTTATTTCCATTTCTCAGTTCATAACTTAATGAGAACCACATTCCAGTGTGATCTGTCTCCAGGAGCTCAGCTGTAACGGTGAAACAGTCATAATTCACTCAGAAACATCCATCTAGTCAGCCGAGTCCTGGGAATGACAATGTTGCGGGTTTATCAAATTTCCTGTTTTGGGCTATCGGCGAATACATGCATTTCATTGACTTGCATTTAAATACGGTTAAAGAAAGGTTTCTTGCCGTTCCATATTGTTTAACAAATACATTTATTAACCAATAGCACAAAATAAATACTTTACTATAACACACAAATAAAAAAAATCTTTGATTTTACTACTGCATAGGAGGCAGAAGTTGCCTAGCATTGATAAAAGCCCAAAACTGAATATACGGATCCAGCAGATTTTCAGAGAGTAACACCATTATGCCATTGGCGAGTTGGTGTTCTTGAGGCAGAGTTCACTCATGACACTTGACGAAGGCTCTGGAGTAATGTGTATAAAGGTTCCGGACTACACAGACCCTAGCATCCGAGGATTTGAATTTGATCTATACAATTTCTAATCGATTAATTCCCTCTAACATTCCCTAATCCCTCCACTATCTAATACACACTGGGAACTAAGCATTGAGGTCGACATGTTCACACCATATAGTGCAATAAACCTACCCATAACAATAACTAACAGAGCCTGCTCGCTGCTCGCACTTCCCGCAAACGTGTTCACCTATCAGCGAATATCACGAGCTTGGAATGTTCCCACAAACATCTCAATATCCGAGATTATGATCGTAATTCGCAATAAAGATACACCGTTTCCTGCAAGGAAATGGGAAAGTAATCGATCTGGTTGGATCGGTCAACTGTAACTCGTCCACGCAACAGCCAACAGCTGACAACGTACGGTGTCTTGACCTTGTCCTACAAGCAGTGTCTGCTGCAGCCCACTCTGTCAATTCTTCAAAGTTGAACTGCCTTGAACCCGTGTCACTTTGTCTCTGATGACGTAGGTCATAGGGTAATGGCTGTCGACTGAACATATCCTTTCTTAAGCCTCAGATTTAAATATATTCTCTCAAGCTGGACTAAGAATTTTCTTTGCTCTGCATATAGCAAATTACTGCAACAATCTAAATAAGCAAATCTGGGTAACCATTATTTTTCATTTCGAGTGTTTCGATGTCACTAGCGGTTTTTACGTTTATTCAAGGGCTTTATTCATACTCTGGTTTTGTAACTGTCCATTGTTGACCTTTTGTACGATTAAGATAATTTATTGTTTGCCTAATGATTGGTATTGAAAAAATATAAATTCTGCGTGACTAAACAAGGTTTAAAAGTTCAACTTGTAATCCGGAAGTCAACGGTTCAAGGTTTCAAAAAATGTATAGTTCAAAACCTCCTAGATGGAATCAAGAATCAGCATTCCTCTGAGATTTCTTAAATTCCGATTGATCGCGACTAAAGAATCGGCGAATCTTAGTCAGAAATAAAACTGTAATCTCAAACATTTTTCAATTATTCTTCAGTTTCTTCCGCCATAAACTACACACTCATATAATAGAGTTGTATAAGTAAATAAATTCCCTAATGTTCAACAGCGTCAAGTGCCAGTCTTGCCTCTTTTACATTTACGATGCCTAGAGTCACATCAAATCACACTCAAAACTGTCGACGTTTCCACTCCATGTTTCTTGCGAGTGATGGACGATCATTTCAACAAGAAAACCTCTTGGGCCTCTATATTTATTTCAAAATACTACACAACGAAATCACATTTCTACAAACATTCAGTAGAGGCTCAGCCAAGCCGCAGACCCTGACCGTGCGGCTGGAACCACAACTCCATTAAAATAAGGAACTAGTTATACGACGCCTCCAGCCTCCAGCAGGTGAGTCAGTCGAGGTATTTAAACCCAAAGTGTGTCAGCAGGTATCACGTGACCCCTGGCTCCGGTCACTCGGCTCATTTCGGCGGGAATCGTCCCGCCAACCTGACACATGACCGTGGAAATAATACAGGGTTCATTGCCGAAATTCTAACAATGATCCCGCCGTAGCGATTAAAACTTTCTTTGTAACAGGACCTCGACGCAGCATGGTGTTCTGACTAATCACGAGGTTGTAAGTTCGATCCTGAGAACTTTGTTTGAGCCTTATATTTTGGTTTTATTTTGTCTGCAATACAAAGGTACCATTTTTACGCTTCTGAATAATGCGGAGGCTAAGGAATCCACTACTTAGTGTTCCTGATTGCTTGTTCTGCGCTCGTATCCGCCCTAAAACCAGTGGATTTGTAAGAACTTTATGGAAAATCATGGGAATTACTAAGACTTCCATAATTTAAAAAGAGAGAATATTTTTAACCCGATGCGATTACCAAAAGTAAGACAAAGCCAACAGAATGTTAGCTATAGGGTAGTAGGGTAATATTCAAAGGAATGTTGTCACGTATGTTTTGTCAAGTATGGTATCGACAAATCGTCAAAAGAAGAGTACACATTGAATATTTACATTCATATATATATTTTCAAACTTAATTTATTGAAACTTACCAAATATTTAAAAAAGCACTCAGCGCACAGCATCGTCACTATCAATCTTCATTTTGTGTCTTTTACACTCCTAATAAAGCTATATGCGAACAGAAGGTTAGGCAGATTAAGAACTAAACGGAATAATGTACGTCATAAAGCAATGAAACACGATCGAAACGTCAACTCCTACCAGTTTCTTTGTGTAAACTTATTGTGTAACTTATTGTGTGTAATGATATTAAGACATAACTTGGCGAACTAAGGAAGTCGGCGAGGTTGGACCACCTCTGTGCAAGGTCTAAGGTCAGACAGGATCGTGGTTATGAGGTTGCGCTGCCTCAGCCAGATATGATACTGACACCAGCAATCTTTGGTGTGGTATTAGTTTAATAGATCGTGCAATACTTTGTTGTTGCAAGGAAACACATTTGAATTCTACGGTATGTTCTGATACTT